TTGGAACGTATCTGTCAGTGAAGGTGCTGTGGCTCTCTTGCTGCTGTAGCGGTCTTTTCATTTCCTTCTATTCCTCGGTGAGCTAGAATCCAGATAACGGTGGTGTTAGGTCGGTCGTAACTCCTGTATGGTTAATTCCTTTCTCTGATCGCGCGGTCTCATTAGGGCTTTTGTTACGCTCGTGGAGTCTGTGTAGATGACGACCCGTGCTTCGTTGTTTGAGTGAGCGTATTGTAGGGCTTCAAGAATAGCGTAAGCTTCAGCGGTAAAAATGGACGATGATGTGAGATTTTGTTATTTTAGTTTCGTTTGTTTCGATGGCAACATGTTCAACTACAGAATCTGTTTTCGACCCGTCAGTATAGATTTCGTTGTGGCAAAAGTACAGTGAAGAGCATAACTATATTACTATAATACTTACTATCATCTACAATAAAGTGAACAAAAAATAAACATCACAAGTGTCCTTTGCACAATTAATAGTAACAAAAACAATTTTTTTAAACCGCGAACGTTCTTTTGTTTTATCTGTAACGAAAAAAGAAAAATACACTGTATTCATACACAGTTATGCTCTTCACTGTAGCTGTCACTGTGTTCAGCTCTACGATAGAAATTGGGCCCTGTAGTCGGTCGAATTAAGAATTTTTTCGGGCAAGCTGGTTGGACTAAATCTTACTAGACGCGACTTACTGTGTCTGTTGCAGTTGCAGATACGATCGAGTTTGACGCTCGCGTTAACTTCCGAGATGGATATAGAACTGGGGGGCGGGATGCAAACTTATTTACAAGAGAGATAGACGCGGTTGTTTGCCTGGTAACCGAACCGAGTGTATCTCCGTTGCTTTGTCCGCTGATGAGAATGGACTTGGACGAATATCCTTTGAAACGTTTCAAATGACGTAATACGCGATGGTCGGTTTTGAAACGGTCACTCGACGACGGATACGTTGCTCTCCGTTGCTTTGTTGGCGGTCCTGTCTTCTTTGAAGACATCATGCCCGTGGCACGATCGCGCGCGGAACCGCAACTGCTGCAATTCGCGCGGCAACTCGTCAGCTTACCCCTTTGTTCCCCGGAAGCGTAAACGTCTCGAGATATTTCCAGATCGAGCTCGTTGCTCGACCCTCGAGCGAGCTCCACTCTCCGCTTCATTTCTATTAGTTCGATCGAAATGGACGTTTGCATTGGCGACGAACCCGCCGGTAACTCGCCATTCGAGAGAAATGGACAAATTGCCAAGTGCTTCGCTCGGCAAACTCGACGGGGAGGATCGATCAGCTATCAAATTAATGGTGGCAGGTAATTTCGTGAGAACGATTTCTGGGGCGACGGTCCTGAGTTCACCAGGTCCTACTAGTCCGTTTTACGAGCTCGTGAGGCTCGAGCTTGATCCTCGGTTTCGTTAAAACGAAGCTTCCCTTTGTCAGGTTCACGATCGAGTAATTTCCAAAAGCTAGCCATACACTTTGATCGAGTGTACAATTTCGTACGAGAACCACCGTGTTCGGTCGTGTCTCATCGTCGAAGAATTTCGAAATGACGCTTCTCTTCCCCTCTGGTTGTCTCTTTCTGTCGCCGCGAGTGATTTAACGCTGGAACTTTGTTTCCACGATCGTAATAAATTTCACGGCCACGTGTCTTTCTTTTTCTTTTCTCACACTCGTCGTCATCTAACGTCGGCTAATCCTTCGCGGCCGTAAGGCGATTAATTTCGAAGATCCTTGGAGGAAGTCGGCGCTCAAGGTTGTCGGTCCTTTTTGAAAATCCAGCGAGTCCGTTGATCCTTGCCTCGAGTGTGCGCAGCTTTGTCCATATTTTTCCCTTCTCTGTCCCATCCGTGCTTTCATAAACGTGAGGATATATTTTTTTTCTTTTAGTAGCAACACAAGACGCTTTCGAGAAGGAAGAAACATTTATAGCTATCAAGAGATGACGATATCGGTGCTGTTACATCGTCGTTAATTTCTTCTTTCTCTCTGGAGTACTCGCCTCGTTCGAAGTATTCCAAGTCCCAGTATTTTTCTATTAATTAGCAAATACTTCGTGCGTTCTCCTCTCCATGGGTTTCTTCTCGTAAATTTCGCGAATTTATTTACACCTTGCTTCGATGATCCATCCGACCGATCGGAATTTCCCCTGAAAGAGGCACGTCGTTCGTCCCTAATTAAATCCCCCGTTGATCGTGCACTCCACGATTGGATCGATATCCGTGAGAAGTTCGACGATGAAATGTCATTGAAATTTAATCGACGCCGTTCGTCTCATCATTGTTTCGTTGTCACCACGTTCTCACGTACCTTCCCCCCATTTACACAATTATAATCAGTAATTCTTGCTCGTTCCTCAAACGCTTTCTCTCGACCGAGAAAAGAAGAATCGACGAAATTTCGCGCCAGAGAATAATCGAATGCACTCTGCAAGTAGACGAGGTAGTTTCGTTCAGAATGTTGGCCGAGTTTCGTCGAGCATCGCAGAGAGACGTTAAAAGAGACGTGGAAAGGGGGAGGGAAAAGGAATCGGCGTACGCGGCGTTCGTGCACGCGTCCTCTTGGCACGCTTCCATCGTAGCGGGCACGAGCGCGAGAGAAAGGCAGATAACGCTTTCTGGGTGGTCCTTAATTAACTTGTTCCTTTGCATATTTGAATACGCTCGAGCGTCACTGCCTACGCGACACTGTTTCGTTTCGCGACGCGTCGCGTCGAAAATCGTTCCGATTGTCTTGCCTTTTGATTTCGGTCTCCGCTTCGTTATTACGCTGCCACGTTGGCTGTTGAGTCAAAAGATCCGGAGAACGCGTTAGCCCTTTTGCTTCTGTATCAACCGTGCTCGTCGTCGAAACTAAACTGCCGCACGTTTTCTACTACGTGCAACGTTCAGAGATGTATTTCAGTTCTGCGAGGTTGGTTTTGGCATGAAATGTCTGATTCTAAAATTTTTTATTTTCATTTTCAACCTCTCTAAACTTTGGTGAATTTTTATTCTTTCTGAGGAATCTCTTGAAGATTCGATTTAAAAACTTGTTGTACAATGTAGCGAAGGCTTCGTTGAATAGTTCAAATTAGAGTTTCACACGTTTCGAAAGCTTGAAAAAGAGAATGAAGAAATTAGTCTTTCTTCTTTCTAGTATAATTTTTCGATTTTCAATGCTTCCAAACAAGTTTCGAAACAAATGTGCGATTTTTGAGTAGGAGTATACGTGTGTAACTTTACAATATAGAATTTCTGAACATTTCTAATGAAGAAACAGAGAATGTAAAAAAATTTGCTTTATTGAGAAAAAAAGTGGTAAAGAAATTAGTACATACTTAACGCTACAACTTAACGCGAAAACATTTTATATATATATACGAAACACTACGAAAACATTTACAACATTTTATATATATACGAAACGCTACGAAAACATTTTATATATATACAAATTATTCTACAATAATATAAATACAATTTATATTATTTATATAATACTGAATAAATTGTATTTAATACTTTCGTAATCGTAGTTACCACAAACAAAGAGAAGTGACGTTTCCTCCTCTTGCTGTTCAAAAATAAAAATAAAAGTACTACGATAATTTCACGCGATTGAATTTCCATTTGCCTGACAAAATGTCTTCATTTCCCACATCGGTGTAAATTGTCGGACAACGAAATATAATGACAACGAGATGATAGAACTCGCTAAATGCACACGACCGAAAATTGCAGTTTCTCGATGAGTCGCGAAGGGTTTGCAAGTTTTATAACTTCGCGACCTTGGCGCGAAATTTCCCCCTCCCCTCTTCCACGCAAACTTTCTTCCGCGTCTGATCTTCGCGGATGCTCACGTACCCTCTTTCGTACGAAGATTTTTCTCCCGGATTGAATAAACAGGCGAAGCCGCGCGTGATTCCGCCTGTTTGCATAGTAAATTAATGTCCTTCTAAAAGGAGCTCCTCCTCCCCGTTTATTCAACGGGGTGCCTACGTCGGCGATCGAAAGCCCCGACCGAAGGTCGCGTCGTATTATCAAAAAAATGGGGAAGATTAAAATTCTTGTTTGGAGAACGATCTCGCGTTAAGTGGAAACTTCAATATTCCCCGAGTTTTAACGTCGGTTCTCACGTTGAAATTGAATCTCGACGAAAATTACCTCGCGAGCGGTGAAGTTCAGCTTTCGAAAAAATTTCGCACCTGGTTTCAAAATACGGGATAATTTTCTCACGGTACCGAACACTCCGAGCGTACACGTATTTAGCGACCTGAAAGTTCATTTCGTCATTCGAACTCTTTTTTTTTTTCCTTTTTCGTGCAGATTTAAAATCGCATCGACATCGAGGTCATTGGCGAATAGTATGGTGCTTATATTTTATAGTATTGATTACAATTTTTGAGAAAAATATATCCCTAATTTTTCATCAGGTACGTGATCGTCGAAAGAACTCACGACTATCAAAATAGATGCGTCACTCTTTAAAGTGGATTACTATATGATGTTCTTTTACAAAGTTATATGTGTTGATCTGTGACAGATATTTGACATTTATCGCAAGAGAGGAAGTTTCACTCTTTATTTAAAATGAGACCAAGTAGATTACTATATGATGTTCTTTTACAAAGTCAATATCACTTTAAATGATTCGCAATGTTTCATTGTTATTTGTACAATTAATGTGTTGATCTGTGACAGATTTCTGACATTTATCGCAGAAGGGAAAGTCAGTCTTCTGAATTAGATGTCGTTGTCGATATTCAAGTTTCTCAACTTGATAGCCAAGTCTCTCGTCGCAACAAGTGTCGCGCAGTTATCAGTGACGATGAAACTATCGCGCGCCTTATCGGTTTTATCGCTTTTATCCAAATAGTTTAGACGGCTAACAGACAATTTCTCGCAATTAATCGTTCGAACGATCGTTCTACTCCAGAGGGAACGAACGTGTACGAGACGAGTTTTCTCCAAGTGTCGCGACGTTCGATCGTAATCTAATCGACACCGTCACGTCCCGTTTTTGTTGCAGATCGTCAAACCACTCGGGAGACAATGGCCTTCGACTCCACGGGAAATAAAAGTCGACGAATTGTCTGAGATTGCCGTCGTAACTTTCGTTACGACGAAGGTATTTGTTCCTCGAACTCTTCGCTACGCTACGTCTTCGAAAGTTGCTCGAGTGGTGAACAAAGAGAAAGACGAGGGGGAAGGTGAAGAGGAGGAGGAGGAACCGTTGGACGAGGGACGACGAACAAACAAAAAGGGAAGAAAGCAGAAAGGAAGGAAGGATCTCGCCAATTACTGCCGCTCTGTAATAAGGTAAGTCAACCGTGTTTTCAAAATTTTCAACAACTTTTCTGATATCATCCGCGTGACTCTCCCTTTATATCATATATCTCGTCGAAAGTTTTCTACTCCCTTTCCACGACCGGTATTACGCTTTCTTTCGCGGATTAACCTTCTCGCTCTGTAGGCTCTGGTTTCATGGAAATTCTGCGAAACTGCTCGTTTCTCTCCAGCGGGCGATAACGATGTTACCGATTTCTCGTAACGCTTGCAATTTCTCGCACTACCGGTCCAAACGTTTTGCCCCCTTTTTTTTCTTTCACTGCTGAGACTTTGCAATTTTTGATTCTACGACACTTCGAGATGATTTTCGAGCATTTTTTCATCCGCCGATTCGTTGCAGTTGTATTAGGGGTAATGTTGGTAATGTTGGTAATGTTGGTAATGTTGTTTTTTGATACTGAAAAAAATTTGATTTTATTTAAGAGTTAATACAGTTTCAATCTGTAGTATAATTACGCACACTATACTGACATACTGCAATAAGCAATAAGACTAAATGTCAATATATTTAACTAGAATATAGGTTATATATTGTGTTATACTAAGTTAAATTACTGTAGATTATAACGTAACATAACTTAACCTATAATAAGTTACATTAGGTAGGTTGTAACACAACCTATATATCATAACAAGTTATAACCTAACTTGTAATAAGTTAAATTACTGTCACTAGATGTTTATTAAATTAGAAGAAAACGACATTACTCCTGGGTAATATGTACGCGCACTGTTCGAACAGCGCGCGAGTTTTAATCAGGCAAGTTTAAGGTCTCCGGTGGTTTAAGGTCGTGCTCGGGAGAAGAAAAGCTGGAAATAGCGCGGAAGAGCGGAGCCTGCGCGAAGAGCGGACAATCTCGTCCCCTTGGACTCACGATGTTGACAACTATTGACTCTATTTGTCTCCTCCGTTGTCCCATGTATCTTACTTTATGCTAACGTTTCGCACGTGATGGCTCCGACGTGGTAGCCCGTTGCGGGTTTGCCACATTTGCCACGAGTGCACTCGAGCTACAAGGTCTCCGGCATCACGTAGAAGAATTTGTCATGGTGTTCGTGCGGCAGACTCTCCGCCGAACTGATTCTTTTCAAAATTGCCTTGATTTTAACCTGCGTCTCGTTTTCGAGATACTGTCAATATCTTGTCACATCTTTATGCAATTATTCTGCTTCGTTCGTCTATTCTAACGTGTTCGACGAATTTCTAAAAAATTTCACTTTGGAACGCACAATGAAAGATAAACGATGTATAACAATCTCCACACATCCATTTCTTTGATGAAAAGAAATAAAGATGACTTTGGAAATTTCGGAACCCACAAAATAACACGCCATATTCTGCCTGTCCTTAAAATCACACAACTTTTGTATTAAACAATTTCTCGTTAGACACGCAATTTAAAAGTTACTTCAGGCGTGCAAGATACGTGAATCACCCTGTATATTTGAGCGATCCGAATCGCGAATGATCGATTCGTGTTAATTTCTTTACGAATTGGCCCGGTCTAGTTTCTCTTTCTTCTCTCTTTTCTTTTTTTTTTTTTAAGAGTTATCGTTCGTTCTAGGTGTCTTTCCCCTAATATACGTGGCCTAAGGGAGGCTTCCTCCACCCTCGGGATTTCTGCAGCACTTCTGCGGCGGCAGGCCCGGTATTCCGGTTGTTAGTTCTCTCTTAGCTCGCGCGGTGGAAGTGCCAGGCGAAATGGAGAGCCCTCGACGATCTAAAAATGGTTTCCACCGGCCAGGAAATGCTTCATTCCTCCTCCTCGTAGGGATATAATAGAATTTCTCGGGCAAAAAGCTCGGAAACGATTTTGAGTACCTTGTATTATCGCGACGTTTCTTGCCTCGTGTCTCTCGATGCATTTAAAAGTTACATCTCCTTTTCTTCTTCTGAAATTAAAATTTCAGATTTTTGTTACTACGGACGAGTTGATTTATCATTGTTTGTTTGTTACGACTGACTAGATTTTCGAAGCTTTTTTTTTTTTTACAAAAAGTGTCTCTTGATTTATAGGCAAAATGTTCTTACAGCATCAGTATTGTCGAAGGATTTTCAATCCTTGGAATAATCTGGTGATGGAGACAAATCAGTAGAATATGGGGCGGTTTAGAAGTGGATCTTTCTCAGTGCTATTGAATAAAAAATTACAAACACAGTGATTTTCTTTGTGCTTTGTGGTCTTCACGCGAGTCATGGAGATGCTCCTGCATGGTAAACTAGAAAAACCTATTCATTAAATTTTGACCAATCTGACGAGAATTCGACTCAATTAGAGAGCAAAACTCGTCGCTAGCAATGACCAGAAGTCGTTGGTTTTTCAGAACAGAGAATTTAAAGAATTTTAATATACACTGCAAGTCATATTTTATATTATATGACCAAGACACAGAAAGCATAAGGCTTTTAGTCACGATGGCGAATGCTTAAGTGAGTATTACTGTATATTTTTCCATAAAGTTTCTCTCTTCGCTAGCCGTGTTTATCGAATAAAGATTTCGATAAATATAAAAATCGAATGGCAAACTGTACATACTTTGAGATACTTTCTTGCATGAAATTTGGAAATAGTAAGTTCTACGAGTAAATCTATAAATATTTCGAAAAGAAATTGGACGTAGGGAGAATATGACGTTACTTTCCGGCACGCAAAATAGAAACAACTAGAGAAATAGTTGAATTCGAGAGTCGCGGGAAAGTTGGGCAAAGTATGATATTTCCCGAACATTATTTTCGAACGTTGAAGCTCTCTTCTTGCGTTTCAATTTTTCGAATGTCAAATAACGCATGATGCACGTTGGAAACGGTTGCATTTGATATTGAATATTGTTCAAAGGAAAGCTACGCAGTATCATTCGGTATCTTTTTGTATTTCGCAGTGGCACGTTTGAAGAGGATTCACACACGTAAGAATTCTCGAAGGTATGAATGACACGCGCGATAGCGAAATAAATTTCCTCCGGGTGATATCGCGAGCGACTTTTTATCTGATCTTTTATCCAAACTGTTTTGATAATGATTATACGAAACAAATTTATCTCTTTAAATAAGAGATATACGCAGTTAATTGCGTAGGCTCGCTTCAACGTGATATTCAACGCGTTCGATAATGTTCAAGAAACAGCGTGTTTTTTCATCTTTTATCAATAAAGAAAAAAAAAAAAAAAGGATGAAAGTTACACGAAGAATAGAAATGATAGTAAGCTGATATCTCTGATTGAATGAATCATTACATGCGAATTTGTAAAATACGTAACAACCGGAATGAACTGAAATTTTAGTACTCTGTGGATATCAAATGGAAAAGAGAAGTACCTAAATTCGATCCTCGTTAACGCGGCAGAAAAATTCATTATTCACTATTTTTAGAGAATTTTCCATTGTTCGCACAGTCCACGATAAAGTTTCTCTATTCGAGAGCTTGGATTACGTTCAGAATGTAATTAATTAAAATTCACCTCAACGAAAGTAATCACGATACCAAGTAAATTTCGAGTCACATTTACTTCGAGATATCTAGCAGATAGATTGAGTAAACTAGCGTGTAATTCTTCGTCTTCTTTTTTTTTTTTTTTTTTTTTGATTAGATAGAGTTAGCTCGTAGTATCGCGCTATCGAATGTTAGATCTCGAGGAACCTGCGATAAGACGTGCTGAAAAATATCGATTGCCGATCGAGATATTAATTTTCTATTGTAAAACAATAAATCTCACATCTTATGGTGCTTGTGTCACTCTTTGCGTGAATAGTCTCCCAGTTTTCGATTTTTTCCTTTGCGTTGTAATGCAAAACCATCCGATTAAATATAATTTCTATCTAATGGAACAAAAATATTTTATTCATCTACGAATTTCCTCCTCGTAGGTACGTACGATCGGTTTATCCGGCACGCTGGAAATTGCTGGAATTCTTCGGGATGGAAAGTAGCTCCGCCGTTGGAAAAAAACTTTATTCTTCTTCGAGTTTCTGCAATTCATTTCCTCCGCGGGTATACACATTGTGTGTTCTGATCAATTTCAGCGAGAGCAGACTTTGAAATTCCCGTGCGCCGCGTCGTATTTTCAAATATTTTCATGCAATTTTCGTCGAGCGATCCTTTTATTTTGCACGGGGGACACGATTTTCCATTGGATGGACGGAAGCAGACCGGACAAATCGATACGAATCGAGTCGGCTTTGTTGCCCGGGGCAATTTATACGATCCCGGCATTAGCGTTCGTCAATTTCGCGAAAACTGCTCGATCGTTCTTCGCGACGATCTGGTCGATCGTGAGGTCGCAAGGTTCCTTTCGGGGAACGTTTAATTACGTTGTCGTCGACGTCGGTGGAAAAATACGTTTCCACGAGGAAAATAATCGCGCTCTAGAGATTGATTCACGCTAATAGATACTCCATTTTTCTTTTTTTATCACAGATTCTCTCGTTGAAGACACGTTACGCGTGTAAAAATTCTCTTTCTCGGGAATTTTGCCTCTGGTAGGGGCAAATCATAGGTAAAAATCGTTCCCCTCGAGATAACTGTTTCATCATTGGTATTTCGCTTTTTCTGCGTTTCAGAAAGAAAAAAAAAAAAAAAAGAAAATAAAAATAAAATTTCATTCATTCATTTGCTATCTATTCTCGTTCGCGTTATTTATCTATCTATCTATCTATCTATCTATCTATCTATATATATATGTATGTATCTATATACTGTATGTATCTAGACATACGTTATCTATATATGCGTATTTTACGCATAGAACCAGAGAAATGCCCGATATCGATGTTAGAATTAGTCTCGGCGTGTAGTCGGCTCTACAGCGAAATTTTTGCGAGACTTTATTTGACCAAACGCGTAGTCGCCCTTACGCAGGATGGACAAATATGCTCGTGGTTGATTATTAGTATTCCTCTCAGGCAGTTAATAATACCAGTGATTAAATGCAAAGTGTAGAATATTATCTCGTACGTCGTTTGGAATGATGCT